GAAAATAAACCTCCCCAAGGATTTACAGAATCTTGACTTACATAGCTGGATATCAGATGGTGTTACAGAGACCGTATCTTTTTGGCAGTCAAAACAAAACAAAACAAACCTGAAAACATTAAAAACAAACAAATAAACAAAAAAATTTAAAGCCCAGAAAACCCCACACCAAACCCTCAAACTCCAAGTCGTCCCTTTTCTCCTTGAGGAAGGAAGACATCAGTGTTGCTGTGGGGACAAGTGTCAGACTATCCAGTGTCTAGTACCTGTTTGCTCAAGGCCATTTTTGGTTTTCAGTCTTGATATTCTGGTGTGTCAGGGAGGACTACTTTATGATTTTGCTGCTACGGTACAGTTTGGTCTGAGCAAGAATCAGCCAGATCACTGGGTACTGGGTGAATAAAGAGATTCAGCCCAGGATCTATTTGTCTCATTGTGAGGCACTGCCATCGACTAACCAAGTGGTGTCAAAAGAATCCATTCAGCTTCTCTGATCCTCAAAGTCCATATCTATGAAGATGGCAATAACTTTAACACTTCCCAGGGTTGCTATGAGGATCAAATGAGTTAATATATGAAAATGTTTTATAAACCTTGGAGTTAAAAAAAATTGTAATCTAACTTTTTGGAGTTGTGTTGTTCTCTCAATGTTTCATCCAGGTAAGCTTTGCCTCAGCAGTAGACTTCGGAGTCCTCTTGGCTGGACCCATGATGGCATTAAACATGGGCTTCAGCACAGAAATGACATTCAAAAAGAATTTGCTGAAAATCAAAACCACAATGAGATATCACCTCACACCTGTTAAAATGGCTATTATCAAAAAGATGAGCAACAACAGGTGTTGGCGAGGATGTGGAGAAAAGGCACCTCTTGTGCACTGTTGCTGGGAATGTCCATTGGTGCAGCCACCATAAAAACAGTATGGAAGTTCCTCAAAAAATTAAAAATAGAACTACCGTATGATCCAGCAGTCTCACTTCTGGGTATTATCCAAAGGAAATGAAATCAGGATCTTGAAGCGATATATGCACCCCATGTTCATTACAGTATTACTCACAATTGCCAAGACAGTGCACACAACTTAAGTGTCCATCGATAGATCAATGAATAAAGAAAATGTGATACACACACACACACACACATGCACACGCACTGGAATATTATTCAGCCATAAAAAGAGGGAAATCCTACCTTTTATGATAACATGGTTGGACCCTGAGGGCATAATGCTAAGTGAAATAAGTCAGAAAGACAAAGACAAATACTATATAATCTCACTTCTATGTGGAAGCTAAATGAGCTGAACTCACAGAAACAGAGACTAGAATGGTGGTTGCCCGGGGCTTGGTTGGGGCATATGGAGAGATGTTGGTCCTAGAATACATACTTCTAGGTATAAGAAGAGTAAGTTCTGGGGCTCTAAGGCACAGCAGGGTCACTATGGTTAACAGTACTGTATTATACACTTGGAAGTTGTTAAGAGAGTAGATCTTGAATGTTATCACTATATAAAAAAAGGTAATCATGTGAGGGGAGGGAGGTGTTAACTAATCTCAGTGTGTAATCATTTTGCAGTATATACGTGTATCAAATCATACTGTGCATCTTAAATTTACATATGTTATATGTCAATCATACTTCAATAAAGCTGAAAAAAGAAAAAAAGGGTTTATTGATGTTGTGAGCAATGGACATGGAGATGTGCCACCCAGGCCTTTTCAAAGAAGGACTTGCTGCCCAGCTTCTGGCAGTGGTCAGCAGCGGCCTCCAGCTGTCAGCTCCCTCAGGGTCGGCCTTGGGTGCATCCTGCCAGACCTCACACCTTCCCAGAGGCAGCTTGCTTCTGGTGACTGAGCCAGGCAGGTATAAAGGCCTGCCATTTTGACCGATGTGGGACAACTTGTTGACGTGGGGCAACTGACAAGCTGTTTTTACCTCTCGAAGCTCCAGATAGGGGAGGCTGAGGTTGTTGGGCCCACGCAGGGCTCTGCCTCCCTCTCCCTCCCTTGCACAGCTGCTGATCCCCAGGGTGCTTCCTAATGGCACCCTGCATAGTAAACTCCTCTCAGAGTCTGCATCCCAGAGAACCCAGCCTGTGACACACAGTGTGCGATAGATTTCATTCACCCTTGGAAGCCATCGTAGACATGACTGCATGTCTTTTCTCCGTGCATTTGAGTTTAGGATCATCTCTGTTGTCATTGCTTAAGGCACAAAACAAAGTAAAACACAGGGTTTGTGGTGTGGCTACTCTGCCTTTTCACTGAGAAGGGAGTATCCATCATGTGGAATTCAGCAGCTCATGGAAAGCCACGGTGTTATGTGTGTTCAGCATTGTTATTAAGATGCTGTTTAGGAGGCGGAAGATTTCCAATGGCAGGGAGAGTTGAAGAGCTTCGTCCATAATCTCTTAGCTCTATTGACCTCAACTGAATTGTTTTCCTGTAAGAAACAGATAATTCTCACCCCACTTAAACTCGTTTCAGAATAGAAAAATAATTGAGATCTTTCCTCAATTTATTTAACAAATCCAGGATAACCTAAATACTAAAGACAGTGTGAAGACAAGAAAACTGCAAAGCAAATCCAGCAGCATTTTAAAAGAATAAGTTCGATGACCACCAGGGCTCCTTGGAGAGGCAGCGCTGTGTCCAGAAAGGGCTTGGGCTCTGAGTGAGGCTGCCAGGGTTCAAGCACTAACCATGCTTCCCAGTGATGGGACCTTGGGTTTGCTATGTAACCGCTCTAAATGTTGGTTTCCTCCTTTGTGAAATGGGAATTATGATAGAACCCACTTCCTAGGGCTTCTGTAAAGATTAAGAAGGTCAGTCTTATACAGCACTCACAGTAGTATCTGCAAATAGGGCCTAGAGACACATGCCATTTGAGCAGCATCAAAGGCAGCCATGCTGTGTAGTCTGGACAATTCTCTTTAACAGACAGAAGTCTCTACTTTTACCACTTTATTGGGAAACCAGGACTTTTTGCAGAGCCTTCACTGATCTGGAATCAAATAGGGAATGCTGGAATCTTCTTATGTTTTGTCAGCTTTTCCTCTTGTGTACACATAGCAGTATTCTCAACCTAAGAAATCTCTTCACAAAATTCTATCCTACGGCTCTCAGCAGGGCACTAGGACACCGGTGGCATTGGACCACTCTGTCTGTGGCCTGGTATGCTTGCACGTGTTGGAAGGGTTGTTTGGGTATATGCGAAGCCCCAATCCCATCTCTAAGAGTAAAGTAGCGCATTTCCGCCCTGGGCTTGTCCCAGAAGTCACTGTGCATCTCTCACTCGTGCTGTGTAATAAAGATCCCTGGGGACTGCAGGTCAGAGTTTTAGGGATCAGAAAAACAGGAGGTCCAGAAACTATTGCTAACAGCCAGGATATCTGGCCAGGGGTCTTTTTGCTCAAGTAACAAAGCATGTTTGTAGTGTTAGATCTTGCATGGCAGACCCAGCCACGGGCTTAACTTAATCAGAGCATAAGAGGAAGAGAAAAGAAACAGTCAAAAAGAATAACCAACTAGAAAAAAACATTTGAACTCACTTTTGGGGAAGGATTTTCCACAAAGAGGAGAAGAATGTTGTTCTATGCAGGTGTCACCATGAGCTCCAAAGGCTGACAGAGCAGTGACCCCTTGCGAGCGGCAGGGTCATGCTCTATGGCTCTGACCACTAGGTGGTACCTCAGGCGGGTGGCCAGGAAAAGAGCAAGCTGTGGGAGAGGGGGGACAGACTCTGGGTGGGAGGGGGAGGCGACAGGGAGGCGGTCTGTAGGCAGCATAAAGGCAAGGGAGTGGCCACGGAGGCTCAAGCTGCCTTTGCCTCAGTTCAGAGGAGTCCCTGTCCGGGGGTGATGGCATTTAGCCCCTGGTGCTGTCACAGCCGTGGATGCCAGGTGCCCAGGCTGAGCCAGTGTCCCAAGCCAGGGGCCCAAGGGCTGCCGTGCAAGAGAAGAAGCGCGAAGGAGAGCACTGGTAAATAGCCAGACTTTCTATTCACTTAAAATTGCCTTGAAAGGAATGCAAAATCATGCCAAATCTGCTTGTAGAAGAGAGCTAGTTGAATATTTAAACAGCTTGATATGATGTTTAATATAATATAATTGGTTGCTATCTCTGATATACTCTGATAACTAGACCTAATTAACAAATGATTACAGTTTAATAAATACTTATTATTGATGATGAGAATGGTGACAGAAATTTTAACTCTTTCCCTAGATATGCTCTGAGTTTGGAGAGCAAAGGCTTTTTGAATATAAATCATGGGAGAAAAATTAGGCAGCAAAGGAGGGACTATCTTGCTCTCGAACTTGGTAAATTTCAATCCCTTGTTTCTTCATGCCAGACATATGTGGAACTTAGAAAGCTACCAGTCAGACTTTATGGAATTTCAAATGCAGAATTCAGAGAAAACATTTCTTGAGGGGAAAACAGCATCCTGTGTGGCTCAATTTTAACATGAATGTGCAAGCTAAATTTATGAATTGAAGACAGTAACTTTTATATGTGGTTATGCTCAAGTTAACGGGTCAACTTGGTTACAATCTTAGTTACAAAACAGAGACTGAATTCTAGTGGATTTTAGAAGTGTGAGAACAAATGTTAAGAATGCAACTGTCTGTCTCTCTTAAGAGAATATGGGCCCATATATCCTTCAGAAATCTGAGCTCACGTGAGCAAATGCAGTGCAGGAGCCTTAGGAATGTGAAAATCAGGAAACTGGGAGGGATTTTGTAGGTTGTGAGCTGGGGACACTTTTGAGAGTGAACTTGGGCCCCAGGCCAACAAGCATAAAAAGTGAAGCTGTCCTGGGCACACTGAGATGTGTGGTCACTCCATGAAGAGGTATGTAAAAGAATGGAGCTTAAAGGAAGGAGGGCAGAGGAGGCTGGTGGAGATTCTGAGCCTGCCTGTGGGAGAGACACTCTTCCAGGAGTCAGGGATACAAGGCAGACGGGGCACGCTGGCCTCGCCCTGTGCATTGAGTCCATGCTGCCCTGTTCTTAGGCTGTGCTTGCTTTTAGCACGCTACTGTACTTTTTCGGTAGAGTGTTAACCTCTCTGGGTCATGAATTAAAACCTGTTTTACAGTAAATTTGCTGCCAGAAGAGGAGCAATGAATACTTCATTTCATCTTCATTTCTTGGATCTCAACCTGAATGCCACAGAAGGCAACCTTTCGGGGCCAAATGACAAGAGCAAGTTTTTGCCATGTGAAGAGATGGGCATCGCTGTGGAGGTGTTTCTGACTCTGGGTCTCATCAGCCTCTTGGAGAACATCTTGGTCATAGGTGCCATAGTGAAGAACAAGAACCTGCACTCTCCCATGTATTTCTTTGTGTGCAGTTTAGCAGTAGCTGACATGCTGGTGAGCATGTCCAATGCCTGGGAGACCATCACCATATACTTAATAAATAATAAGCATCTGGTGATAGCAGAAACCTTTGTGCGTCACATTGACAATGTGTTTGACTCCATGATCTGCATTTCCGTGGTGGCCTCCATGTGCAGTTTGCTGGCCATTGCAGTGGACAGGTACATCACCATCTTCTATGCCCTGCGCTACCACCACATCATGACAGTGAAGCATTCCAGGGTGATCATTGCGTGCATCTGGACCTTTTGCACAGGCTGCGGTATTGTTTTCATCATTTACTATGAATCCACTTATGTCGTCATTTGCCTCATCTCCATGTTCTTCACCATGTTGTTCCTCATGGTGTCTCTGTATATACACATGTTCCTCCTGGCACAGACTCATGTCAAGAGGATAGCAGCTCTGTCTGGATACAGTTCTGTGCAGCAACGGACCAGCATGAAAGGTGCTGTCACCCTGACCATGCTGCTGGGTGTTTTCATCGTGTGCTGGGCTCCATTCTTTCTCCATCTTATTTTGATGATTTCTTGCCCTAGGAACCTCTACTGTTCTTGCTTTATGTCTCACTTCAATATGTACCTCATACTCATCATGTGTAATTCTGTGATCGATCCTCTGATATATGCCTTCCGCAGCCAAGAGATGCGGAAGACCTTTAAGGAGCTTATTTGTTGCCATGGCTTCAGAATGGCCTGCAGGTTCCCTAGCAGGTATTAAACAGGAAGTTCTCCTCCTGCAGCTCTCTTTTCTCCTTCCTTTGCCTTATGGCAAAGTCAGGTACGGCAAGGCAAAGCAGGAAAACTAGAAATCAAAACCGTGCATTCCCCTTATCTTCTTTCCATCTCGAATTTGTGCTTAAGATGCACCCTTTTTTTTTCTTCCTGTGGCAGTTGTTGGGTCAGACAAGTGCATGCCACTTATCCATTTTGCTAATGGTCTGTGACAATTTCTTGCTGTCCTGCTTTCCTCCTCCTTTTTCTCCTGCTCCCACCCATTTCTGGGGGCCTTGTCCATCCTCCATCTATTAAGTGCGTGCTCAGGGAAGGTAAAACCTCCTGGGTGCAACTCTAAGCGTGATGAAGAGCTGACAGTAATGGAAAGAAGTCTGTGAACATCTACATCGTTTCTGACTGCTTTCTCTCCCCAGAAGTAGTGCCATAACCTTGCTTGATGCTCCTGGAGTTGTGCATGCTTTGGGAGGCAGAATAGAGGGGTCGAATTCTTTCTATTTGACATTTCCTGTTCATTTGTTATAGGACATCTCTACAGCTCTCTTTTCCTGAACTTCTAGTTTTATGGCTTGTGTTCATAATTGTCCAAGGATGGAATTTCCTTAATTACCCTCTAGTCAATCATGTTTTTGCACTTACCCAGATATAAACCTTCATGTTCCAAACCTTGCCTCATGTGGTGTGAAAGACTCTCGACTCTTTCTTACTGTCCTACTCTGACTCACTCCAGGGTTTCCAAATGAGCATTTGAGGGCATGTCAGGGGCTCCAGGCACCCCTGTGCTGTGTGCAGCACATGCCTATAACCAAGCTATCTTTGATCTTCTCAGGGGCAAGTCTGTCTTGGAGTCTCAAACCCTGTTGCTGTATACTTTGCACATCGCACCTCAGTCTGACTCCAGCAGCCAGAGAAGGTCAGGTGCCTTCTCTAACCCAGGGAGTGCTGCCTTCTCCAAAGTAGAATGGAGTGAGAAAATCTGAGTTCAGGTCCTGACTCTGCCATTAACAGGTGATGTCTCCTTAGTCATCTCATTTCAGGTTCCACATCTGTGTTGACCTCACAGGATGGTCATGAGAACTACAGGAGAAAATGTGAGAACACCTTGAAAACTTGTAAAGAACCACAGGGATTGGCTATTTGTTTTCAAGAAGTGTTGCAGTGGGATAAATACTAGGTGAGGATGCAGAGGGCAGTGATCAGAGCAGTGGCTGGGAAACCAGGAGGCCTGTTTTGCCACACAGCAACTGTGTGACCTTTGGTATGTCTCTAACCTCTCCATCCCAGTGTTCTTATCTGCCGGCAAGGCTTGGTCCTTACAGCTCTTATATTCCATTTGATTATTTTTGGTGTTAATATCTTCTCTTTTCTTTTGGATATTCATGTCTAGACTGTTCCCAAATGAAGGACAAAGTGTGAATAAAGCAGTGGACCATTAGGGCCGCACAATGATGAGCTGTTGAAGCCTGTTGGGGCAAAGGAACTTCCTGGGTGGGTGTAGTACACAAAAATAACTTATAGACATGACCTCTCACCTTTGGCAGTTCGGAGTGCAGAAAATAATGATCCTGGCATGAGCAGGAAAGTGGATAAGACATCCAAATCTTTGGAAAATGGCAAATTGACAACTGAGGTTAGAAGATGCAGCCAGACCTTCAAATGTGTCCTGTTTCTTTTAGTGAATGGTCATGAGTGTATCCATGAATGTAAGTGATCTTCATGTAATGATAATGGGAAACCGCAGTCTGTTTTTACATGGGATATCTTAGGAACCTAGGTTCTGTGAAAGGTAGCCGCTTGGCTTTCCTGCTTATCTCTGTGGCCCTGTTGCCTGCAGCAGTTTCTGGTACAAAGCAGGCACTCAGTTGATGTTTGTTATTGTTGCTAAGCAAATGTGTATTTAATCTGCTGCCCAAGAACAGATTGCCAAGTAGCACTCACTGAGTGCTACCTGAGCTCACCAGAGTGCAGATCTTATGGGTGAAATCAAATTTTGGCCCTTGTGGTTTACACTGGTTCCATCTGGGAACTCAGTTCCCATTAGGCTCACTCTCTGCTCTGGGTGTTTCATGACTTCAGACAAGGTCTGACCTTTCTATAAAAGTCTTTAAGGAAATGCTCAGATGTCTTTTAATCTCCATATAATTAGTGCAGAAATAACCCAAGTGTTCAGATGTGTCTTCATTTGGAAGGAATACATGTACATAGTGACTTGGTAAATATCTGCAAATGAGCTAGCCCTTGGAATCCCAACACAAAGTCCCCTAATCAAAATATCCATTTCACTGTTGTATGGCATTTTATATTAACTCATTCTGTTTCTGTAGGAACTTTATTTGATGTAAAAATATGTGTTCAAATAAATGATTAATAAAATGCAAGGACCAGACCACCCACATGAACTGGTTTTTCTGATGTGTGATATTCAGAATGTTTTTGGTCTTCTTACCAATTTGTCAGCAGCTGCTGCAAAATGAGAAGGTATATTCATTGGTCAATTATGGTGAAGTATCCTTGACAGTATTTATCACCTGTAGGATGGCCATTTCTCAGTTCAAAATGATTTAACTCCTGAAAATAAAATAAAATTCTACACTTGACATTATACACTGCCCAAAAGTCTGTCTGTTAGTAAAAATGTAAGCATTTTGAAGATGTCACCTATCAGTACTCAGTGTGGGGCAAGAAGCAGTGGCTGTTAGAGACTCTCTGCTATCGAAGGACTGGTGGGGCATGAATTATTTCAAGTCTTGAATGTTTCAAGTTACATGGAAACATTGTCCACAATTCAAGATGCTACATATAAATAAGTGTGGATTTTTGAGGCTCAGACTATACGTGTTGTAAAATGAGGGCTGTGATACTCTCCCATGGTTGTAGTGGCAATTCTCCCTGGTAGATGCAGGGTGTATCAGAGTTTTGGGGTGAGAGTATAATTTTGAAAAGGTAGGTAGTCTCTACATCAGGTCCAGATGTGACTCCTCTTGATTTGGAAACCAATAGACTAAAAGGACAACTTATCTGATACCGTCCTCCAAGTCAATGGACAATGATGGAAAAAGGGACTACACACAGACACTCCCACTCCAGAAGAGGAAGAATAGGATCCATGGTATTACAGTTCCAGGGCTCACCAGCTACTGCTACCATATCGGACAGTGCAAATCCAGATCTATTTCCCAGGCTTGCTGCATGTTCCTCCTTTTTTGCCCCAAGGACTCTTTCTTGCTCTCATCTTAATTATGTATGCTTTGAGTCTATCAGGCTTTGAGGGAGAGTCATGCTCTTAGTTTCTTTTCTCTGATCCATTTTGTCCAGTTGAAAGGATTCACTGGATCCTTTTGATCCATCCTTATTGGACTTTACTCTGAGATGGCTTCCTTAATCCACTCAGGGGATTTTTGATGGTGGTGAAAGCTGTCCCCTTGATTTGATCCTAGTGTCTGATCTGAGTTTTAATTGGTCTATGTTGTTCAACTTTCTTAATTTTGTCTTTTACTTATTGGATTGAGAAGAGCTGTCTCTTCCCACTCTGAAGTCCCTGACTCTGGATTTTCTTGAATCTTTAAAAAAAACTTTTTTTATGGTGGTTTCAAATGTATCACTAAAGAATCCTATTTATTTATTTATTTACTTATAAAATTGTGGTAAAATATATATAACATAAAATTTTCCACCTTAACAATTTTTAAGTCTCCAGTTCAGTGGCATTAAGTGCATTCACATCGTTGGGCCACCACCTCGAATTCCTTTTACTCTTGCTTGCATTCAGTTAATTCTTTCCTTAGCTCATCTCTTTCTTGTAGTATCTCATTAAATGGAGACAACAGAAACCGACACAGAGTATTGATGTCATGTTTTCTAGCCTTTCCTCGTACAATTGTATATATTATACATCAGTCAAGCTGTCTTTTTTTCCACCACATAACAAGCATTACCATTCTTCCTTGCTCTCTGTACACCCATTTTAGGATTTGATCCAGTCATTTTTTTTTTTAAAGATTTTATTTTTTTTTTCCTTTTTCTCCCCAAAGCTCCCCAGTACATAGTTGTATATTCTTCATTGTGGGTCCTTCTAGTTGTGGCATGTGGGACGCTGCCTCAGCGTGGTTTGATAAGCAGTGTCATGTCCGCGCCCAGGATTCGAACCAACGAAACACTGGGCCGCCTGCAGCGGAGCGCACGAACTTAACCACTCGGCCACGGGGCCAGCCCCTTGATCCAGTCATTTTTAAGTAACAGTTTCTGTGCTCGTCAGGATAATCTAGGCCAGTGCTTCTCGAACTTGAATAGCCGTAGGAAACATGAGGAGAGCTTGTTAAAATGTGGATTTAGATCTGTTGGATCTGGAGTAGGAGCTGCGAGTTTGCATTTTTAACAAGCTCCCAGATGTTGATGGTCCAGGGGCAGCATTTTGAAAACCAATGCTATCCTGTAGAAACAAACAGCTCCCAAGTCTCAGTGACTTAACATAACAAACATTCATTTTCCCATTATGTTACATGCTCAGCACAAATTAGCAAGGAGTCATATTGTAATTACTCAAGAATCCAGGATGATGGAAGCCCCATCCTGACACGTACTTGCATGTGAGTTTCTATTTCCACTCACATTTCCATTGTCAAAATAAATTCCATGATATAACATCAAAGTGAGCTGGGGAATCAATCCTACCATGCACCTGGGAGGAGGCAAACTGCACATTGGAGAATAGCGCTTACCGCATGCTCAGCATGATGCCAAGAGCGTGGCCGTTCAGTGTCTCTGTCCTCAAGGAGCTAACAGGCCAAGAACCATTATAATAATCATATGTGTGGGAAAGTACGCTCCACGTAATTAAAAACAAACTTGTGTGGCATGGTGTAATATTGTGATGCATAATAAGAAATATATATTTGGTCTTTGTCCCCATTCCTGGCACAGAGCTCCTCAAACCCTTGGAATTTTCTAAGTGATGAGAGCTATAAATGTGTCTTTTGTTATGTTAATGATATGACTTTCAGAATGCCCCTAAAGGATTTGGAATCACCTAAGGATGGGAGCTGGTCACCAGAGAAACCAACCACATGAGTAGAGGGTTGGAACTTCCCATCACATCTCTTGTCCTCCCATCCCCATCTTCACAGAGGATAGAGGGCTGGAGGTTGAGTTAAATCACTCACGACTAACTATTTAATCAATTATGCCTATGTAATGAAGCCTGCATAAAAGCCCAGAAGGACAGGCTGCAGAGAGCTTCCAGGTTGGTGAACACGTGGAGATTCTGGGAGAGTGGTGTGCTCAGAGAGCACTGAAGCTCCATGCCCCTTCTCCATACATTGCCATATGCGTCTCTTCCATCTGGCTGTTCCTGAGTTATATCCTTTTAGAATAAACCAATAATCTAGTAAGTAAAATGTTTTTCTGAGTCCTGTGAGCCTTTCTGGCACAATTAATCAAATCCAAGGAGGGGTCATGGCAACCTCCCATCTATAGCCAGTGGCTCAGAAGCACAGGTGAAACTGGACTTGTGATTGGCGTCTGAATGGGGACGGGGAAGTCTGTAGGACTAAGCCCTTACCCTGTGAGATCTGATGCTAACTCCGGGTAGGCAGTGTCGGAATTGAGTTGAATCGTGGGACACCCAGCTGGTGTCAGAGCATTAGTTGGTAGTGTGTGAAAAACACACACATGTAGTAATTGGTGTCAGAATTAGAGTAGTATGTAGCTTATTATAGCTGTACGGAATGAGGGATATGGCGCATTCCCTCGGCAGTAGCACTGATACTCACAGGTGGTTGAGGGGCGCCATAGCAAAGTTTTGGGATGAGGGCATGAGTTTGAAAAAGCTTCTAAGGTGATTAGGATATATTTGGCTCTTTCCTTCTTCCCCATTGAGAATCACTGTTGTGTAAAATTTGAGAGAGGAAATATTAGAACTAGTAAAATCAAGGGAGATTAAAGCATGAGCACGTTATATAAATCCTCCAGGAATGGGTTGGATTTGCACAGTTATGGAAGAAAAGCGAACATGGGGTGGGAAAGTACTTGGGTAAAAGCTGATGCTCATTAGTGGTGAAATAGCCTAACTAGAGCCAATGGTATGTGTTGGGCAAGAGTAGAAAATCACTAAAGTGTACCAGAAATTATAGAGAGAGGATTATATGGGTCTTGAAAACCAAGGAGAAGACTCTATCTTATGCTTGTTTTATAGGAACTAAGGAGCCATTGGAAGTTTTTCTTTCTTTTAAAATACATGGCCATGATCCAATAAAATCTGTGCCTGTACATTAGTTTGATGGCAAATTTGAGTTAATGCCAGGAGAGGTGGGAGGCAGGCTGTTGCAGTCAGACAAGGTGCAGGCCTGAGGGCCTGGACTGGGTGTGCAGTGGGTGGAGAGGACAGGAAGTCACTCTAAAGGAAGGATCTCTACCCAGTCAACTACCAAGCTTTACAAAAAGGGACTCAGATTCTAGTTTGCCAGTTACTGCTACTCTCTTCCTACGTTATGTTGGTTTTTCTCTCAATGTTCAAGAAAAGTACGTTCAGAGTTTTTGGCCTAAATTGAGTGCTAATTCTTATGTTCTTTTCCTGTTATCTTTCAGATCACAACTTGCTCTGTGTCTGTCTCATCCCTTCTTCTTCAATCCACCCTTCTTCCTTTTTTTTTCTTTTTTGCATCACTACTCTTACCTGGAGAACAAATGAACTTTTTAAGACTTTTAAGTCTAGTTCTAAAGAAAAGACTTGACTGCATGTTTTCCACGTATTGGCTTTTGCCCTTACCAGTAATACACATTTTAAGTAGAGTATATTAAGATTCTTGTGAGTTGATGCATAAATAAGGCAGACTTGACCCCTTACGTGCATCCTTGCTTTACACTAGAGAATGCCTCAGTCAAATCAGCAGAATCTGGGGCACAATCACGTAATTAGAAGCAATGAAGTATGACAGCAGAAGTGTGTAAAAGCATCCTTAGGATCTCCCAACAGAAACCTGACAGCTTTTCAAGCTGGTTCTCTATTTTTGTCTCCTTCTCTTTACCACTAAACTGCTTGCCTACTGTTCCTTTCTACCCGAGGACCACTGGGCCCGTGACAACGTGGCATCAACCCTCCCCACCCTACTGACCTACCATTCACCAATTCCAAACACCTTTCTGTCTCTACCCTCTTTGTCTCCACAATATTTTAAATTCTTGTCTGCTTCTTAAGACTTCCTTAGCTTCCAAAACACTCCCTGTCCTGTTCTGGACCACTTTCCGGTGCAAACATCCTTACCTTCTCTGGCTCTTTGATCTCTCTCATCTCCCACACTTAGGCTTGCCTTGAGATTGTATCTTTAGAATTTTTCCTTTTATCTTATAATTTTTCTCTCTGTTGTCTCATCAACATGTATGATTTTGACTCTCTCTAGGTATACGATTCCCACATCCTTTATCTCCAGCCTTAACTTCTCTTCTAAGCTTCTGCTTGGTGTTTTAGGAAAATGCACACAAGGAATCTAGGAATCTTAATCTTTGCCTTATAAGCTCCTCTTCCCGCCTCCCCTACATTGGTGGAACCATTTCCCGTGTCCCTAAGTCCAAAGACCTTGGGATTCTCTCAGGCTCCTTTCTCTCCCTTGACATCTCTATAGAATCAGTTGGAAAACCCTGTAGGATCTGCAGCCGAAATGTCTTATGCCTTAATTCCTCTTCCCATCCCCATGGCCACAAACTGGGCCAGTCTTGTTACCTTTAAGTTTGGATTTTTTTTTTTTGAGGAAGATTAGCCCTGCGCTAACTGCTGCCAATCCTCCTCTTTTTCTGAGGAAGATTAGCCCTGAGCTAACATCCATGCCCACCTTCCTCTACTTTATACGTGGGATGCCTACCACGGCATGGCTTTTGCCAAGCGGTGGCATGTCTGTACCTGGGATCCGAATTTGTGAACCCCAGGCTGCTGAGAAGCGGAACAGGTGAACTTAACCACTGTGCCACCAGGCCAGCCCCTAAGTTTGGAATTTGAGTAACATCTAAACTACTTCCAGTCTCTTCCTCTGCTGACCCCCCCACAACCTCCCAAAGTGCTGCTTTGCTAGTGTCATTCCTACTATTCAGAAACCTTCAAAAGCCCCCAGTGCTTGCCTCATTAGGTACCCAGTCCTCACCCTTACCTTAAATGATCTCCAAAATATTGGCTAATCTTCCAATCATCCTACACATCAATAAAATGAGACTGCTCTGAACATGACTTATGCTTTTCTGCTTCCAGGTTTTGTTTAAGCTGTTCAATCTGCTGGGAACAACCTCTCAACGTCTGTGTGAGCCTTCAAGCACATCTCAAATGCCTCTTCCTCCGTGACTCCACAGCCACACCTCACTGTGGTGCACATTCTGCCAGGTAGGTAAGACAGAGGTTTTTTATGAGGAAGATTAGCCCTGAGCTAACATCCACTCCCAATCCTCCTCTTTTTGCTGAGGAAGACTGGCCCTGAGCTAACATCCATGCCCATCTTCCTCTATTTTATACATGGGATGCCTACCATAGCATGGTTTGACCAGTGGTGCATAGGTCTGCACTGGGATCCCAACGGGCAAACCCTGCCCACCAAAGTGGAGCACGCAAACTTAACCACCGGGTTGGCTCCCAGAGATAGTTTTTATGTCCTCTATCAGAACATTACAATCTCTGTCTGCATTTTTTCTTTGTCTCATTAGGACAGTGCTGTCCAAGAGAACTTTTCGTGATGATGGAAATGTTCTCCATCTGCCCTGTCCACTATAGCAGCCACTAGCTACATGTAGCAATTGAGAATTTATTATATGGCTAGTGTGACTGAGGACTTTAATCTTTAATTTAATTTAAATTTACACTTAAATAACCGTATGTGGCTAGTGACTGCCACATTGGACAGCAGAGAATTAAGAATTTGATTCATTTCATGTAACAGAAAAACTGCAAACAGTGACCTACTTGAGATGGAAGTTTATTTCTCTTTTACAGAAAAATACTCTGGAGGTAGGCATTTCAAGGCTAAAATGGAGCTCTAGGGTGCCATAAAGAATCAAGGCTTCTATCATTCTCAAGATCAATTCATGGTCCAAAATGGCAGCTGAATATCTAGCCGTCATATCCAAATTATAGGCTTGAACAAAAGGAAAGACAGTCAGGAACATCAGCTTTTCATTACAAATATTTTTCTTCAACTCTGGGAAATTGTCTTCTATTATTTCCTCGATTGCAGTCATGCGCCACGTAATGATATTTTGATCAACAATGAACGGCATACACAACGGTGATCCCATAAGATTGGTCCCATATAGCCTAGTGTAGGAGGCTATACCATCTAGATTTGTGTAAGTACACTCTGTGATGTTCACACAATGATGAAATCGCTTAATGACGCATTTTTCAGAATGTATCCCTGTCGTTAAGACCTCAACTTTTTCTTCTTTGCCCCATGTCTTCTATTGAACTTTTAACTTGGCAATTATATTTTTAATTCCTATGACTTCTTATTTATCTTTTCCTTGCCTTCTTTTCATAGCAAACTGTTTTTGAATTCATAGATCCATGTCTTGTCTAATCTCTCTAAAGATAAATTGGCTTTTTAAAAATTCTGTCCTCTTACATGAATCACTTTTTTCTCCAAAGTCAATGATTCTATCGATCTTGCTCCTTCCCATTTGTATTGCTCATTTCCCTCAATTGCTGGGTGATCCTAGATTTTCCATTCATAGGTGTAAATGAAGGAGTGGGCGTGATTGAATTAGTACTTGGATGGGGTTCCCTGATGCTCTCCCGGATGAAGAAGCCTGATTGAGTGGCTGTCTGTCAGTAGGTGGGGCACATCGATTGTCAGATGGTACCTGAAGAGTGTGAACAGACTAATGGGCTGGGCAACCCCCACCCCTCTGAGCTAAAATGGGAGGGGATTTACTCTGGTGGTCTGCTCCTCACTCTGGGAAGCCGACTCCTCCTGGTGTCCTCCTGGGTACTTTGGGAGGTATTATTTTACATTCGCTTCAAAGATTCCCTCAGTGGTACAGTGGATAGGCCATGCCATGGTTCTGCAGATAGTTCTTATATGTAACACCTCAATTTCTTCCTTTCTTCCCTCCTGGCTCCCATTCTGCTGACCCCGGTGGGCTCTGCTGTGAAAAACTGGTGGATTCCATTCCAGTCTTCTCTCTGCTGTCCCCTGGGCTGTGATCCCCTTAGTCTGTTTATTTGTCAATATGACTCCATCTACCCTCCCGCTCCTGAAATTCATCAGAAGTTTTAGTCTTCTGACATCTCCCATCCTGTTTCAGCACTTTTATGAATTCCTTGCCTTTTATTCTTTTACTGTCATTTCCGTGGGTTTTCAGGAAGAAGTGGAGATAGATACTTAAATGAGAAATCCATTTGAGCTACATTTTGGGGCTAGCAGGCTCAGTCTTCTGTGCAAAGCAGAAAGGCAGGAGACTGCCCAGATTCCAGGGTCTGGTTTTAACTCTGGTCCAACTTGCAATCACATGGCCACACCCAGAACAAGAGCCTTTGCCAACATCAAGGAGGTTCAGGAGTCTTGCCTCACCTTGGCACCCTGGTCACTTTTCTATTGTCTTTCTTCTTAGCTTGACTCCCAACTAGAGAGAGCAAAGCAATCGGTCAATTCAAACAAAGACCTTAGGGGCCGACCTGGTGGCGCAGCGGTTAAGTGCTCACATTCTGCTTCAGTGTCCCAGGGTTCGCCGGTTCGGTTCCCCTGGTTGGACACGGCACCGCTTGGCACACCATGCTATGGTAGGCATCCCACATATAAAGTAGAGGAAGATGGGCACGGATGTTAGCTCAGGGCCAGGCGTCCTCAGCAAAAAGAGGAGGATTGGTGGTGGATGTTAGCTCAGGGCTAATCTTCCTTAAAAAAAAAATTCTCAGCTAAAGAAAAAAAGTTGTTTTATAACTGGGTTGTCCAGAAGCTGCTTTCATGGTTTCAGGCATCTAAAGTCTTTACATCCAAAAGGGACACCTTATGGCTAACTGTTCAGGATCATTATATAATATGACGTGGTCTGGAAGCAGCAGCATCTCCTCAGCAGGGTCATGGGGGATAGTGGCTCTGGGCTTCCTCCAGCCACTTCTGGGGGTGCAGCAGCATGGCTTTTACCGAGACCTAAGGGACCGGTGACCTGCTTGTGGGTCCATTTGCCCGGAGCTGCTCGCGCCAACAGAATAAGACCGGGTTCCGAATGTTACCGAAACCAAAGTGGGTTCCCTCCTGGTGAGTTAAATCAGACTCTTCACCAGAAGTAGTTGTCTCACAAAGTAAGGTATATTTGCAGCAGATAGGAGACCATGAGGAACCATTTCCAGAGTCATGGTGTCGCTGAACAAAGGGAAGCAGGGACATTTATTTCGGATGGGGAATGAATATTCAAAAGGGAGAGGTGGGAATTCATTTGCACAGGCTCAGTTGGAAAACATGCTTCCACACACACTGCAGGTTATGGTAATAAGGCCTAAGCTTCTCCTGGAGAGATCTAGCATTATAAATAAGGCAAGGTCATAGGGATAGTTCTGTGGTGAGGCTTGGTCTGTTTCAGGGGGGTTGGTGATTGCATCTCCTTAACATAACAAAAGGAAAAAGAACAATTTGGAAAAACAGTTAAAATATCCAAAACCACCCTTGAGTTCCTTAGGGTAACTAGTCAGTGACAAAATCCCTCCTCCAGTTTTTGCCCTGCTCCTCATTCTCGAGGGGCACAGGTCAAAGGTCCATCTTCTGTACTTGCTTCCTGCTGAGCATGGGTATTGTCATAGGGACCAGTAGAGGAGCAGAATTTCCAGCTAATCTCAAATAGGTTTGTGGGTCACCTCAGGCATAGCCCTGAGTTGTTCGTAACAACCGCCTGTAATTTTATAGCCTCAATGCATTTAGTACGTTTAGGATCTGGGCATGCTTGCCCCCTCTCTCTAGATTCCACCAGCTTTTTTATAGTCTACATACTGGGTTGTCCAACCTTCTCTGATGGATCTAGTCTTGCTGCCTAGGAAAATGCAAGCTTCTTGAAAGCATACTGTGCCTAAACGATATGGGGTTGGTGTGGATCCAGGACAGAGCCTGGGGTGGATAGCCAGCCACTCAAAGGTTGACAAGTCATTGGGATTTACGTATCTGTACAGTGTCACCGAAACAAGAGTTTCAAATCAGAGTGGTTTGCAGGAAAACTTGGAGTCATCAATTGTTTTTGATGATCTCTCTTGTTCACGCGTGGGAGCCTTTTTCATCCTTGTGTGATGCATAGAGGGGTGACTCCTTCTAATTTTAGAGAAGAGTAAGTAATTAGTAACACCAAGCCCGGCCGTACCCAAATAGGATTTAGCTGATCTTGGGACAAACCGCTTTTCCAAGTTTTAAGATAGCGTGAGCATTCTTAAGGAGTCCCTAAGCTGTTCGTTTGGGGACTTGAATCTTCCCCTGATGGTTTATCATCCAGCCCTTGACTATTGGGGGTGATGAGGACCAAGGCTGCCCCAGGGAGTGAAACCCACGGTGCCGTGCCCTACATACTGATCAATATCATCTTCCGGGAAGCATAGGACGCCCTGACTTAATCCAATCTGATTTCTTATTTAAAGTTGTAGGACCACCCAATAACCAGACCCCCACCTAGACTGCTACCATTTTAACGATTTTTTTCATGATCTTTCCTTTGTCTTGTAAAGAAATAACTCACATATCTATGCCTTACAAATTTAGCTCTAACCCTCAACACATTGCATCTTTTCCTGCCTGTGGGTCCTGTCCCCATGCCAGCAGCTCTTTACTGCCCATGGGTCCTGTCCCCAAGCCTGCAGCTCTTACTGCCCATGGGTCCTGTCTCCGTGCTACTCCATGCTATTCTCTAAATAAAAGAGCACTACTGCCAGACCTTGAGAGTCCGAGAAATCTTTCTTTCGACTCTCGACTCACTGAGCCCGCATCATTGGGGACCACTGGTAACCATGTGTAGTGGCTTCCCTTATGTCACCAGGAGAATAGACTAGTGTAAATTCATAGAAGGGTAGAACGGGAATTAATGGTTTGCTTCTGGAGACGTCTGTGGCTGGCATTCATGTCTGGGCAAGTGTGGGTAACAGGCCCATTGGAATCAGGGAGGAGGGAAACTGGGTTTAAGGTATGATGGAGTTTTAAAGAAATCTGAGGAAAATCTAGCAGCATAGCTTGATATTGTAGTATTCTATTCTGGGATGGGCATAGATGTCCTCTAGCTTCTAGTAGGCTAGAGCCTTGTTGGGGGGTCCACACCATCAGAGGTTGGCCCATAGTCAGTTGTTCTGCTTTCTTGATTAAGAGGCAGGTGGCAGCTACAGCTCTCAAGCATGGGAGCCATCCTTTCACCATGGTCTCTAGTGTGGGGGACTGGTCTTGGCCACGCCAAGATATGTCTCTTTGGCATGAGGATATTTGAGGCTGGTTTCTTTGCAGACAGGAAAGCAACTGAAAAGTTGAATTTACTTACCCTCTGTAAGAGACATTTACATTGTAAAGGAACTCTCCATCTGTAAAGGTATCTACCTCTCTACCAGGAAGAAGGGAGATGACCTTATCTCTAGAAACTCTTAATCAATGCCAAAGGCAAGGACTTAAATCTGCATGTTTGTTGTGCTTATCTGGTGGCCTCCTGTGGCTGGTTCCCCCCACCCCCAGCGTCCTCCTTTATCTTTAGCTGGATGTGATGGTTGGGGTGGTGGTTTCAGCCATTTTGGTGGGTTGCTCGGCTTGCCTGGGCCTCTCCCATGTGTGCATTGACTGGTAAAGATGGCAAGCCGTGGGATGTGTTGGAGAACATGAGGTAGCCATTTGGTGTAAACCTAATTTGGCTTGACCTTGTCTTTCCAAAAGGGCCTGACCGAGGCCGTTGAGCATGCATTGTATGTCTGCTTTAGATATTCCCTATGGCAAGAAGAAAGGCCCTTGAGATAAAGGTGACTTCCCTCCCCCTCCCAACGTTGGCGTTTCTTTAAGGATTAAGCATCTTTCCTTAGGCTAGGAACTGATTGCTGCGCTCACCTGTGACCACCCAGCTTGAGACAATAGACTTGCCTCCTGCTACGCCCACCAAGATAGCAGACGCACTATCTGCTGTGTCCATCAAGCGCTGTGCCAACAGGGCAATCTTGTGACAACTGTGAGAGGGACATTTCAATCATATGTGAAATATCTTGTTTGGGGGTATATAACCACTCTGTGCACCCACTTCTTCGGTGCCCTTTCTTCCTTCGGGAAGAAAGGCCCCAGGCCATGGTCCTCATAAAGCTTTGTTTAATTTTCTCCTGCTAGTCTG